TGCCCAAGTTAAAGATTGACGATTCCCATGGTTGATTGATTCCAAAGCGGCAAGGACATCGCCAATAATATACAATGAATAATCACTAACCCGAGGGAAAGGCAACCAATAGGAATTTGTATCAGGCTTGTGCGGCATGAATGAGGTCTACAGCCTCCTTTGATCTCAGCTTGACTGAACACTTGAATGGCAAAGGGGCCCTTTTGCGAAATGAATGAGTAAATGGGATATGTGGATGTTGAGTGCAACTCACATCCCAATGTCGGAAATATATCCCACCGGTGGCTCAATTGCCGTGCATTTGGGCCCACAGGTTCAGTGATATCGAACACAGCGAGCATGGATGCCATTATCCAGAGAGTGTCAAAAGCCATAATATGTCCCTGGCAAGCCCTACCATAGTTTCGTTCTGGCACTGATTCCAGCCTACACTGGGCTGTGTTTGACTACTGCCCCACCATTGGTAGGAGTTGACAAAGGAAAATGTAGAGCTCAGACCCCTGACCCATTCACCCCACAATCTACTTCCTTCCCCACTGGTTCTTTTCTGCTTCCGCTTCCTGGGCTTTCCAGCTTTCCTGGTGGTAATGGTGGTGGTGGTTCCAGCGGTGGCAGAGGAGGCAGCAGACCACCTTTGGGTGGTGCGCCCTTGCCTCATCCTCATCCTTCCATCCCTGGAGGAATGCCTTCCATCTCAGGTGCTCCGGCACCGAATCCAGGACCTGATGGCAGTGGGGGTGGCTGCAGTGGGGGTGGCAGACCTTACGGTTCAGCTCCAGCTCCAGGTCCTCTCAGTCCTCAAAGCCCTCCAGGCCCAACATTTCATATTCCCGCTCCACACAACCCTCAGGTTGATCTTGCTGTTCAACAAATGGCTCAAGTGATGTCTCTCCTCACTCAGAACTCGGTTACACCTCCTTGCTCCACTCATCTCCCAAGGACATGCTTGCTGGAGTTTGAAGTTCTGTTCTATGCACATGGGTCATGATTGACAACTCGTTAGGACACACCCTGCAGTGCAATAACAATATACATAGAAGCCTTCCTGGATTAAGGATGACAGTTCTGGACCACTTCTGAAATGCAGTGAGCAAACCGAGGTTCAAACCCTCCCAAAGGCTTGATTTGGATGGTGAGATTTTTTTGTTTCTGAATAGGTCTCTCTTTGTGTGCTCTATATGCACACCTATCTGAAGGGAAGTCCAAAACCTTGTGGATAAGTCTGGATAAATTACTATAACCTCCTGACTCAGAAAGCATAGGTACACTAACTTGACTGATGTTTTTTTTTTTCCCATTGCTTTGGGATACAATTATTTGGCACACCTATTGCCCCACAGAATAGTAGGTAGCCAGCCCTCGTGGATCTTAGATCACCTCATCAGCTTGTGTTCCTCAAGTTTTGAACTTTATCAGGTGGTGTAGGGCTGCCTGCTGTCCCGTAAGTGGGTACAGCTGTGGAAAAGACGGTCCTCTTTGCTGCTTTCTGGACCTCGGATGGTAAAGGACAGTAAAAAGACAGCTGTCAACTACAAATTGACGGGGTGGTACCTGGCAATGTGAAGTCAGACAGTTGAGCCCAAAAAAATTGATCTATAAAGGTGCAAAGGATACTTTACACATTCTGTACACACTCAGGTGCATTTCCTCAGTTGTTTGAAGTCAGAGGATATGAGCTCGGAGCATGTCCAATCATGTTGAACTCAACCATGTGAGCAGGTAAAAGTTGATGTTGAGTTTTCCAAAGCCTCATAGATAGTGATTTCCAGGTCGGGCCGGGCCTGAAAGCCCGGGGCTTGGGCCGGGCTTGGGCGGGCTTGGGTTGGGGAGGACCTCAGGCCCGACCCGATTATCGGGCCTGAGGCTGGGTCGGGTCGGGCTTGGGCCCAGGCCTGGGGCTTGGCAGTAAATAATCATATATATATATATTAAACACTGAACAAACTTGAAGAATCACCCTCAATATCCCCATTGTCCTTGCCCTCGTCCGGTTCATCAGCTAGGCATGCATCCCAAACACCGAACCCCTCTTCGAGTGCTGCAGAATCATCATCATCTGATTCATCAGCCACCACCATATAGATGCACAAGGACAAAAAACAATGTACACATATGGCTGTACGCTCCGTTTGCGAGGGAGAAATCTAACCTCCCATGGTTATCATGGACTTGTTGTGGTCAATGTTGGAAGTAAATGTGATAGGCAAAAAAGAATTCTCACCGCCAAGACTTGTAAAGTTGTTCGGTAGCCTGAATAATGTCTCTGTGTTCACGGGAAATGAGTAAGTGAGTTATAAAATTAAGGTTACAAATGGTAGAACAATGACACACACATGAAATAATTATTGGGTGAATCCTGTCCAAATTTCGATGCAGTGCATCATCAATCAAAAATACCTGCAGGTGATCTTGATCGTTGTAATATTTGGCCAGCCAGGCCCGGGCCTAGGCCCCGGGCTTCGGGCCTGAGCAAATGTCAGGCCCGACCCCAGGCCCAGTTGAAAACTGGGTCGGGCCTGAAAGCCCCAGGCTTGGGCCGGGCTCGGGCCTGAGCCCGAGCCTGGCCAATCACTATGAGTCATAGACTGAGGTTGGGATGTGTACCTTTACTTCCTGTCTTGAATGTAGGAGTTTTATGGTATGGTGGAGGACCCAGGTAGCAAACAGCCAGCAGCAGAGGAATATTTGAGCCTATAGTCTAAGAGTACACAAGTGGTGGTGGTACAAAGGCAAACAGATCAAGTATGGTGACATACACTACTATATATATGGGATGTGATGCTGTGAGCTCTGTAAGCTTGCTCATGCAATTACAATTCTCCACATTGAGTAGAGGACTAAGAGAATTTTCAATGGATTGACTACAATTTTGGCAGGAAAAAGAGACAGTGGGCCACAGGTCCTCTGGAGGGCATACCTACTAGTAGTTGCTCGGGCACTTTTTCTTCTCCTTGTACACAAACACAATTATTTAACACACCTATTCTGCACAGAACAGGGCAGCGAGTCCTTGTGTTACAATATTAGGATGTTTGTGAGGAAGTGGAGGTTCAAATCCTCCTGAGGGTGTGTTGTTGAGAACAAATTATTTTTCTTCCCTGTCTGTGATTCTGTGAACACAATTGTTCCACTGGGCACACCTACCCTGCACAGAACAGTGGGTAACAAGCCCTCACAGGCCATGGTCGATCACCTCAAACTGCTATTATCGAAACTCTATTGAGGACTGGAGCCTTGGTTCAAACTTTTCTTTTTTGGCCTTCTACTCAAAACCACAATAATTCCACTGGGCACCCCTACCCTACACAACAGAAGGAAGCAAGCCCTCATGGATCATGGTAGATCACCTCATGCCTTTGTGGAAACAGAGCGTAATTCCTGAGGAGGTAGAGGTTCAAATCCTCCTGAGGACATGGGGCCTTCCACACCTTCTTTTTTTGGCCTTCTATGTACATACTCAAAACACAATTATTCCACTGGGCACACCTGGCCCGCACAGAACAGTGTGTAACAAGCCCTCGTGGATCATGGTCGATCGCCCTCAACAGTTTCGCCCGCCGTTATCAAAACACTATTGAGGATGTGGAGGTTCAAATCCTCCCAAGGGCATGCACCGGTAAATGCCATTTTTTTTCTTCCCTGTCCGCAAACACAATTGTTCTCCCACGCAGAACAGTGGGTAACAGGCTCTCATTCATGGACCATGGTAGACCACTTCATCAGCTTGGAGCTTTTTCTCGAGGAAGGGCATAAGCACTTGAACAATGATTTTTCTGCTGTTTCACCTGCACATAATTATTTGGCACACCTATCCTTCACTGCAGAGACTGAGGCTGCGAACATAGAGTAGCAAGCCCTCGTAGATCATGGTGGATCACCCCTCAACAGTCCACTTCACATGATATTTCTCGAGGAGGAGGTTCGAATCCTCCCGAGGGCATACACATAATGTTTTGCGATGATTTTTTGTTTCCCCTCTTTTTTTCCCCTTCTACTTTGTGAGACACAATTATTACAGTACACTTATCCTGCCCAGAACAGGTAGCAGTAAACCTTTATAGATCATGATAGATCACCTCATGCCTTTGTGAAAAAAGAAGATTCATGATTATTGAGGAGATGGAGATTTGAGTCGTCTGGAGGGCATGCAGTGCTTTGGTAAATGTCTTTTTATTCCATCATTTGCTTTGGGATGCAACTATTTGCGTGCATCTATTGGTCGTGATATCCAGCACAGAACAGCATAGCAGGTACTATAGCAAGCCTTTGTGGATCATGGTAGATCACCTCTAAGCATTTCTCCACACACTTTGCATGCAAGTGAGGAGGTGGAGGTTTGAATCCTCCCGAGGGCATGGGGCATTCGACTTGCTTTTTTAGCCTTCTACTCAAAACACAATTATTCCATTGGGCACACCTACCCAGCACACAACAGAAAAGCAAGCCCTTATGGATCATGGTGGATCACCTCAAAGCTTTTCCACCGGGACAGAGCTTGCTTGCATGAGGAGGTGGAGGTTCAAATGCTCCCAAGAGCATGGAACATTTGCCTTACTTTTTTGGCCTTCTACTCAAAGCATAATTATTCCATTGGGCACCTACGCTGCACACAACAGAAGGAAGCAAGCCCTTGTGGATCGTGGTAGATCACCTCATGCCTTTGTGGTAAAAGAACGACGTAATTCCTGAGGAGGTGGAGGTTCGAATCCTCCCGAGGGCATGGAGCATTCGACTTGCTTTTTGGCCTTCTATGTAGTATACTCAAAACACAATTATTCCACTGGGCACACCTACCCTGCACAGAACAGTGGGTAACAAGCCCTCGTGGATCGTGGTAGATCACCTCATGCCTTTGTGGAAAAAGAGCGACGTAATTCCTGAGGATGCAGAGGTTCGAATCCTCCCGAGGGTATATGCTCGTTGTGAACTTTTTCCCCCTTTACTCGAATGTGATTTTTCCAGCACACCTATTCGCAGGACAGTTATTAGGCATATGGCAAGCCCTTGTGGATCATGGGAGATCACCTCAAAGCTTTTCCACTGGGACAGAGCTTGCTTGCATGAGGAGGTGGAGGTTCGAATCCTCCCGAGGGCATGTGGGACTGGTACTGCCATTTTTTTCGTTCCCGGTTCACGGACACAATTGTTCTGACACCTCGGGCGTAATCCAGCTGTGGTCCAATTTTTATTTCGGATGTAGGTACATATGTAGGTGGGATGTACAGCCAGCAGTGGATGTGATTGTGATTGCGATTGCGATATGTGGATGGGGTCCCGATCATCTTGATTCGAATCACGGAAATCTGTCTATATTTCTATTCGCACCTTCGCACCAGCCGGGAAGCGGGTGTGTACATACATATAAACGGTGTGTGGGGTAGGATAGAATAGAATAAAATGGGATACGAGCACAGCATATATAGTATACTTACTCTGATACGAGACGGACTTGATCAATGCTATCAAGTCGTAGGTGGGCCGGGTTCTACTCTAAAGTGCAGTGCGGTACAGGCACCGTCGGGGTCGGGGCCGTGCGCAATGAGAATTGGAATGTATAATATTGTGTGTGGTGCGCCTCCGGGTGGGTGGGTAGAGATCTATCTAGCTAATAGGCTGGGCGGTGATGGTGGATCGGATGTAGAACAGCACAGCAAGAAGCGCGGCGGTGTGGCAGAGCGATTTGTGCGGTGGGTGGACGTGGTGGATCGGGTGTGGAAGCAGTCGCCGGTATATATGTAGACAAGACGAGGAAGCAGGACAGGATAATAGCCGAAGATTTGAGAGGTAACTTGGAGCGTCAGAACCGGTGAGAGCTGCCAGATGAGAGAAAATGACCGGGAAGGATGTGTAGATTGATTGGAGTGATATAGCAGAAGACAGAACAGAACGCGGACGGGCATCAGATTTTCGCGGATGAACAGAAGGAGCGGATGCTGCGGCCAAGAAAAGACACAAGCCCCTAGTGGGTGTGAAGGAAGCTTTGGAGGAGGTTTTAAAACCTAACGGGGCCCTGCCCGTGTACCGCCGGTTGTGCTGGAGAAGCAATAATAGCGATGCTGCTGCGCTGGAGATGATTGGGGGTTACAGAAGAAGGAATTGCCGTGATGGGATTGTGCGCTGGCAGGTAATTAGGGTCGCCAAGGGGTAAACCGCCGAGCGTGTAAGCAAGAGTACGAGGTTCGGCCCAGGGCAAGAGGAGAGAGTGCCGGATAATTGCTGACAGTTCAAGCCACTGGGCAGAGCCAAGAGGACAAGCCAGAACACAAGTCAGCCTGCAAACACCCGCACAGCCACACGCCGCCTTCACCCCTACACTGTAGTACTATCTAACACCCCGCTAATTCCTCTAATACCTCCATGTCGCTGGCGAAGCGGCCCCCGGCGTCGCTCCAGTCCGACATGGACATGGACGATGCTCTCGACCGCCGGTACAACTACGACAACGACGAGGACATCGACCCCGAGCTGCGTCTGCGCACTGTGCGCACCGCACACTCCGCCATCGCGGAGAGTATTGTGGCGGATACGCGGCAGACGCGGCGGAGAAGACGGTTCTGGGGCGCACGGAGCGAGAAGACACGGCATGGGCACCACCCCGAGGAGGCGGACCCCGTCAAGGCCAAGCAGGAGGCCGTGGCCGGCCGGAGGGCAAGCGGAGGAACGTCTACGTCAATACCCCGCTGCCCCGGGGCGAGCTGGATTCGAGTGGCGACCCGCTGGTGAGGTATCCGCGGAATAAGGTCCGCACGACGAGTGAGTTGTTGCGCTGCTGTTCGTTGGCCGAATATTATTGCTGACCCTCGGTAGAATATACAATCCTCACATTTATACCCCGCAATCTGTGGGAGCAGTTCCGACGCATTGCCAATCTCTTTTTCCTTACCCTCGTCGTGTTGCAGCGTACGTCCTTTCTTTCTCATCCGGATATCTTCGGCGCCACATATACCCGCTCTCTGACCCTGTCGGTGGTATGGGACTTGGACTTGCGCTGGCATTGTCTTTGGAGTGCACCTCTGAGCCTCACAGGCTCGCGCGGTCGCCGCATATTTTTGCATCTATTCCTTGTGCATATTCTTGGCGTATTCGGAGTGGACTTCCGGGGTCACACACGTTGCGGCCGGACAAGTCGCACTTGCACTTGCGATATCTCTTTCCAGTCCTGCCCGTCGTCGCCACGTATCCTCGTGTTGCCCACTAATCCGTTTTTTTTCTCACCTCAACTAATACTTTACTAAACTAACGCACGCTCTTTCCCGCACAGAATTCTCCGTCTTCGGCGCGACCTCCGGCGCCATCTCCGCGCTCCCGCTCGCGTTCATCCTCGTCGCCTCCGCCATCAAGGACGGCATCGAGGACCACCGCCGCGGGCAGCTCGACGAGGAGGTGAACACGTCCCCGACGACGCGCCTGGCGGTGCGGAACCCGAATATCCCGAAGGGTGCGTGTTTGCGCTACGTCTCTCGCCTGCCTCCCTCCACCCCAATTTTCCGCAAATTAATCTCAATTAAATCAAATTAAATTAAATCGACTAATCTAACGCCCTTACAGACCCGCGCTCCCTCTTCGAAAAGCTCCTGGGCCTCAACCGCCCCGGCGCCGTCTCCCGGGGCGTGCGCCGCCTGCGCGCCGCCGAGGCGCGCGCGCCGCCGGGGAGCCAGAGCACGCTCAATGTGGACGACAGCGATGGAAGGAGCATCGACGGAAGGAGCGTCGCGAGCACGGCGCACTCGTATCCGCCCGCGGCGGTGTTGGTGAGTGGTGGGGTTTTGGTTATTTGTTTGTTTGAATGGGGGCGCGGGGGCTATTTTGGGGGGAGCTGTTGCGTCCTGGGATTGGGTTGCGGTGGTGGGTGTGGGTGTGGGACGTCGTTTCGGGTCGGCCTCTACTGATTTTTTTTGGGACGGTTTCGCACCCGCTCGTCATCCCTCCCTCTCCTCATCTTTTCTCGGTCTTGGTACTTATCACTTGTTTTTTTTTCCCGCAGGACCCGAACTTCCGCGCGGGCGCCGCGCAGTGGGAGCGCACGCTGTGGAAGAAGCTCGAGGTGGGCGACATCGTGCTGTTGCGCGACAACGAGCAGGTGCGGCTTCACTCATCCATCCTTTATAATTATTATTTCATTGACGACGGCGCGCCACAGGTCCCCGCGGACATCGTCGTGCTCGCGACGTCGGACCCGGACGGGAACTGCTACCTCGAGACGAAGAATCTGGACGGGGAGACGAATTTGAAGGTGCGTGCCGCGGGCGGTTTGTGTGGGGTCGTTCTGGGGTGCGGTGTGCTGCGAGACGAGGGGGTGTGGGATGTGCCGAGCTTGAGGCGGACGGACAGACGGGGCTAAAGGGGAGGGCGCAGGAGCCGTGCTAGAGATCGCGGCCCAGCCCACGCATGACTCGAGACGGGTTGTGGACGGCGCAGAATTGTGCGTTGCGGGTGCGACTTGGTGGTGTGGCGTGCATCGCAAGGACGAAGACGGAGGCGAGGGAACGCGATGCTTGTGACGCGAGATAGGCGTGGTCCCCCGCGGTGGGCGGCACGGTACCGAGACCCGATATGTACAGGAGGGGGAGGGCCTGTTCTGGATACGGAGACCCCTATGGGCGCGTCCTCTCCCTTCGCTGCGCCGCTCATCTCCCCACACCTTTGCGTTGCGTTTGAGCACTGGGTTTTAAAGCTGCCGTTCGTGGGGCGTTGACCTGAGATATGATTAGAAACGCGGGGGTGCAGCAGAGGCGGAGACGTTGTCGTGGACTGAATGCCGAGTCGGGGAACGAGCGGGCACCAGCGGAGGGGAAGAGCAAGGGGGCTCCCGCGCGCGCCCCCGACTCGGAAGACGCGCTGAGGTGGTGTGTGATGCGGCTTGCGCGCAAGATTGTGTCTTGTGGTGTGGCCCTCCCCACACCACGATCGTTTTATGCTCTCATTTTCCTCTTTATTTTATTCTCTTGGCATTTCCCACTTCCTTCCTTCCGTTTCCTTTTCGCCCGTCCTCGTGCTCCCACTAATGCGCACCCCGCAGCTCCGCAAATCCCTCGTTGCCACCCGGAACATGTCGTCTGCGGAGGAAGAGGTGCAGCGCGCGCGTTTCGTGCTCGACTCGGAGGCGCCGTCGCAGAATCTGTAAGTTGTCATTTTACCACGCGTGGAACGGGCACACAATCCTTGATTGTGGCCCTACTTGCATCTACTTGTCACTTAACTTGTTAACCACATCCACAGCTACCTATACCACGGCGTCCTCCGCTACCGCGATTTCTCCTCCGCCTCCGCCTTCTCGAGCGTGCATGCGCGCGCGACCAACAACAACATTAACTATGATGCGGATTTCCACGGACAGGGGGGACGGGGAGGTGAGTCGCGTTGTTCCAAGTTCTTTCGACAATCCTTTGTCGTGTTACTCGCCCGTTATATTACTCCCGTCTTCTGCCTTCTTGAAGAGCCAGGGGGGTAACACCATGACGGGGAGACTAGGGGGAGGGAGCAATCAATCTTTTGTCCTCTCATTTCTCACTGCACACGGAAACCGACATGAGCTGACTGACGAACACGCACAGGTGCCGCGACACCGATGCCTGAAGACCGCGCGGAGCCGGTGAGCATCAACGAGATGCTGCTGCGCGGATGCGCGTTGAGGAACACGGCCTGGGTGGTGGGGCTGGTGGTGTTCACAGGGGCGGACACGAAGATCATGCTGAATGGTGGAGACACGCCGAGTAAGCGGAGTAAGGTGGGTGTCTGAGCGCGATTCCCTCCTGCAATCCCGGGTCGGGCCCTGAATTTAAAGCTAACGACACTCTGCAGATCGAGCGTGAGACCAACTTCAACGTCGCGGTCAACTTTGGTGTGCTGCTGGCGATGTGCATCATCGCGGGGATATTCAGCGGACGGGAGGACGCGAAGCGCAACACGAGCGCCGACCTTTTCGAGGTCGGCTCTGACCCGACGAGCTCCACGGTGCTGAATGGGTTGGTCACGTTTGTGTGCGCCGTCTTCTTTCCTCTTCTCTGAACGCACGCTCACTTGTTCGCTCGTAGCTCGTGTATCATCATGTTCCAGAACATTGTGCCCATCTCCCTGTACATATCCATCGAAATC